CCTCGACAGCGCCGGGCCCGGCAGCAGGGTCAGAGAAGGTCGTCTGCTTCACCAGCTGTGACCCAGGGCCGGCCACCAAGAGACCACCACACTGATCATGGCGGATCTGCTGTACTGATCGTCATCTTGACTTTGGCGTTGGCAGCTCTTATATTCCGACGGATATATCTGGCCAATGAGTACATATTTGACTTTGAGTTATAATATTGTTTCGTGTCTTAAGAGCTGTGACTCATCTACTTCATTAAACATTCTGCATTGGGTATAATCTAAGAATTGTTTACAAAAAGATTATTTTGTATTTACCCTTCATTCCTTTTTTGATCCTTATAATTCAGTATAAATAGAGCTAGACATTCAGACTGTGTCCTGCTTAGTATAAGGGACTGGAAGTCAAAGTCCCTTGTCTCTCTGTATGACCTGCTTTATAGGGAAATAACTTATTGTTGTTTCTCATGCCTCAGCTTCTCTTTATGTAAATTTGTGATACTTTTCTGTATAGCCCTTTAAACTTTTTGGATAAAAAATGGTATTTTAAGTTCCAATGAGTATTACTAGTTACTCAATACCATTTATTGAGTACTCTGTTTCTACTTAATGTAGAATGATATAGGGATAAGAGTTGAAAAAAAAGGGAAAATAAAACTCCTCAAATAGCTTGCTTAAAATGTATTCACATGAGACATACTGGAATTGCCCATTCTGTGACTGACGTTGTGTCCTAAACATTCTTCGGTGAAAGTAAACTATTTTGGTCAAACATTTCTGAGGAAATGAGATTACATCATTATTATTGGATGTTACTTGAAGAGGGAATAATGCTTTGTAACCACTTTGATATGCTGTTATCCCCTTCTCTCCAGTTCACACACAAGATTTTAAAAGAAAGAAGGAAAACAACCCTCCGTAGAGCTTTGATTTAAGGAAGGAAGGATCCAAGCCAGGAAACTGCTTGATTTTCTTCCACAAGTTAAAGGGGAGGATCTTAAGATTGGAATGTTTGCTGTACTTTGAATTGTATATCTTTTGAGTTGTATTATATGCCTAGCTTTATAATCACTATAAATTTAATTATTCCAGGAATATCATAATATTGAAATATTTCATGTACCATTTTAATATAAAAGCTCAGGGCCCATGTAACAGTGATAGAAATTAGAACTGCCCACCTAATCAAAGCCCAAGAGATAATTTTCAGTGCAAAATCAATATATCAATATATATCCATATATTTATTGATATATTGATCAATAAATCAGTATATAACTTAGTGCTAGCTAGCTCCACAGACTCTAGTAGATAATTTTATCATCATAAATAATGCCTGGTGAGAACATATAATCACAGAAAAATGTTACCTTCAGCATGTTCAAGAGCAGCGTTGAGGGCACTCTTGAGGGTATTGTTAATGAAGATTTAATTTTTAAATACAGGCAGTCCCCAGCTTTCAAATAGGTTATGCTCTAAAAGTGCATTTGTAAGTTAATTGTTTTTTTTTTGTTTGTTTTGTTACGACTCAGTGTTGTAAATCATGTTTAGGTTCTAGACAAGGCCACATTAGACAAAATCCATTAGTCCATAATGTATCTTGAATACTTAGGGGAATGGTATTTATAAAGTCCTTATGTAGCTTTAACTAACTGAAATTATGGACAAGATAGAAACAATTTGTAAAATGATTTTAAAGGCAAATTTAATTTTTACTCCTGCTCTGATAGGATTTTGGTTCTATGAACTATCTGACACAATTTGTTTTCATCTTATAGCCAGTTATGTCTGCATCTAAAATAAGAACGTATTGTATACTACTATATAATACACAGTTTTCTTAAATTTTAATAAATTGGCATTTTTAAAGTGTTTACAGATTGTTTCTCTTATATCTACAGCTGAAGTTGGTAAAGTCTAAAAGGCCCAAGGACTTTATGAAGACCTCGTATGTCAGGAAAATTATAGGTTACCATTTTATACCTTTATTGCCATGAGAAAGTACATTCTGAAGTCTTGGTTTGGAATGTAAAATATTAGAAATACTGGTTCAGTGGTCAGTGGTCTCCTAGCAAGAGGTCACTGACTCACGGGGGAAGACCAGGTAATGTTATCACCTGAGAAGAAGGAAATCCTCATTCTCTCAGCCTATCCTGAGGTTAATCGTGTGCTAGGAACAATCTTCCTCTCCATCACACTGAGCCAGCCTCGATCTATGTGATCTCGTTGCATGTTTCCGTGGTGTGTCTATACTTTAAAACTGATTAAGCCAAGAAGATTTCACGTTCTACAGATCTTCCTCTATCTGAGTTGCCTCTCTTCTTTCACCCATCAACAGCCAGGCCATCTCCTTCTTTGTGCTGTTTTTTTTTGTTTGTTTTTTTTTAAGCACCTGATACACGTATCTGAAAGTGGCATATCTTTTGCTTCTTCCCTTTCAGCTCATATTGCTACCTGAAACTCCTTAAGTTGTTGATCTGGCCCCCATTGTGGGGTTAATGAACAAAACTGGCCTTTGGAGCCATTCTTACATCCCGATAAAGGGCCTCTTCAGAAAACTATTATTTTTAAAGCCCCAGTTTAACCCCTTATTGACAGCATAAGGCCAAAACCGGACGTGTGATCTGGTAGGTAAAGGCTTAGGACTCCTTCAACCCTCAGGTTTAGGTAACTCATGGCTTTTCCTTTGACCGACATAGCACATATCAAGGTGGTTAAAATAGCATATGCTTGAAAAGATAAATAATGTCTGTTTCACCTGCAACTGTTTAAACCAATGAAACCTTTCAGATTTTATGTATCATGGGGCTTTTATGTAGCACTTTATATTTTCATGCTGCTTATAGTTTTATTCTACTGAAATAAATTTCATCAAAATTCTCAACTACTTTTTTTAAAAAACCTTCAAAAATTGTTTATTATTTTGACTATGAAAACATAAAATTTCCTATTTCAGGAGAGTAAGAAATCGTTTTGTTCTTTTGGGCTGTGAATAAACTTTCTGGTCCTTCAAGACCTCCCATTCTTATAGAGCAGAATCAGTAAACAGGCAGACCTCACACAATTGGACGTCGTTGTTCAGAAACCTAGGCTGAAGTACTGAAAAACTAATATTGTTTTATTACTTGCAAAGAAGTATATGAAAGGTGAATGCATTTAGTGAACCTGAGTTTTAACAAAGAAAAATGTGTATGTTAACATGTGTACTCTGGGAATTCCCTGGAGGTTCAGTGGTTAGGACTCTGCGCTTTCACTGCCCAGGGCCTGGGTTCAATCCCTGGTCAGGGAACTAAGATCCTGCAAGCTGTGCGGTGCAGCCAAAAAAAAAAAGTGTACTCTTAACAGGCATTGTGGGAGGCTGTAATTGCTCCAAAGCTATTTGCAGTGCCTCTTTAAAAGTTGCCTTCAGAACTAGTTTGAGCTGCTTAATAAAACCAGTGACTTTATTCATACCTGCTTTTGAGTTCTTTATGTCATTTGGTCTTATCTCCTGTTCATCGTACCTCCTTGAATATTCTCTTGCATTTTTCCACTTCTCTTCATGCTCACTGCCACTGCCCTAATTAGCCATCATCTCTCAACTAGTGCAATTATCTCTAACAAGTCTCCATTCCTGCCCCACTCTGCACACTGCAGCTGGAGTCTTCTCCAGTGCGTGGTACAGATCTGATCCCGTCTCTCCCATTGCTCTTAAAATAGGCCTGAACCCTTGATGTAGGACACAAGGCTGTGTGTGACCAGAGTCCCACCTAGCTCTGGCCTAATCTGGCTGCAGATGCTTACTGGGGCCTTTCCACAGCTCTTCACTTGATCCTCTGTCCTGAGAAATAAACAAATGTTAAAGTTATACACCCACTGCCTCATACCACATGCAAAATTAACCCAAAATGGATCTGAAACCTTAATGTCAGGGCAAAAACTCTTAGAAGAAAACATTGTCAATTTTTGTGGCCATGGGTTCAGCAGTGGTTTCTTAGATACGAGATGATTATATTTCATCAAAATGAAAAACCTTTTGTGTTTCAAGGAACATCGTTAATAAAGTGAAAACACAGAATGGGAGAAAACATTTGCAGATCACATATCTGATAAGAGATTGTATCGAGACTAAAGAACTCATATCTCAACAATAAAAAAGATAAATGACCTGGTTAAGAAGGGGCAAAGGATTTGAATAGACATTTGTACAAAGAAATACGTGAATCAGGCTTCCCTGGTGGCACAGTGGTTGAGAGTCCGCCTGCAGATGCAGGGGACATGGGTTCGTGCCCTGGTCCGGGAGGATCCCATATGCCGCAGAGCGGCTGGGCACGTGAGCCATGGCCACTGAGCCTGCGCGTCCGGAGCCTGTGCTCCGCAACTGGAGAGGCCACAACAGTGAGAGGCCCGCGTACCGCAAAATAAATAAGTAGATAAGATTTAAAGAAAAAATTGGTAGGATCTAAAGTTACATCTGGAGTGCAACAAAACAAATATTTCTTTAAAACCAACAACATCTGTGCAAAATTCTAGGGTTCCAGTCAGTCAGCCCTTGATAGGCCTGGTCCAAATGGAAGAGAGCAAAAGAGATCTTTTGAACAAAATTTATGGAGAAGAACTTTCATAAGTCTCATGTCTTCCTCACTAAATCTTTGGCAGGATTGAGACTTTTAAACAAATTACCTGGATAATTCTGAGGAGTGGCCAGATTTGGGAACCACTGAGTCGGTCCCCGTACTAAATTACTCCATTTCCCAGATTCCTATTTAATTCATTGCAATTTGGCTTCTTCCACATCACACAACTGAAACTACAGTTTATTGAAGTTAGGAGCAATGTTCTGGTTCTCAGGTCCAGGAACATATTTTGTTCACTTACGTCTGCCCAGCACTGACTGTTAACTGTCCCCCTCCTGAAGCTCCTTTGGTTTTCGTAGTCAACATCTCTGCTAGTTTTTCTATGCCTGTGTTCTGGCTGCCCACCCAGCCTTTAAGAGTACAGAGTCTCTAGGATTCTGCACTTGGGCTCCGACTTCTGTTCCGGGGAAGATCTCATCTTTTCCTGTAATTAAACTACCACCATTACACTGATGGTTCTGCATCTATTTCTTCAATCCAGACCTTTCTCCTGCGTTCCAGGCTCATACTCCAGCTGCCTACTGGGCATCCAGAAGTCCCATGATACCTCAAACTCCGTAAGTCAAAATTTATCTCATCCTCCCCCCCCGTACCCCACCAAACTTGTCCACCTCTCAGGGACATCAGATAATGGTGGCACCAACCCACCAGACGTGCCTCCAAACCAGGGTCCTAGCTTCCATTGTGTTCTCTCACCTCCTACTCTATTCAATCACCATGTATATTCTCCTTTGGTGATAACTTGACTGTTACATTCTTCTGTCTTCCCTCTTCTTCTCCTTCCCTCTTCCCATCCCTTAGAGCAGGACCTCATCCTCTTTTTTTTTTTTTGCCGTACGCGGGCCTCTCACTGTTGTGGTCCCTCCCGTTGCGGAGTGCAGGCTCAGCGGCCATGGCTCACGGGCCCAGCCGCTCCGCGGCATGTGGGATCTTCCCGGACCAGGTCACGAACCCGTATCCCCTGCATCGGCAGGCGGACTCTCAACCACTGCGCCACCATCCTCTTTGGTGGATGGGGAAGCCCCATCCTCTTTTAACATAGTCAAAAGAGATCAATCAGTTGGGTCTTCTCTGACCCAACTGATCCCACTTAGGAATTCCTGAAAAAATAAAGTGGATCATATCATTCTACTTTGCTTAAAGGGATCAAAAGAGCTTCTCTTGATTCTTTCTTACATAAGAAAACCCTAATTCTGTTTCAGTTTTAGCTATTGCTCCTTCTGACCTCCATCCTCATCTCCCTATGTCTCTACCACACTCATCATCTCCATTCCCAGGACACAGCAAGCAAGCAATAGGTAGTTTTTAAACATTTTCTTCTGCAGAGTATATGAAACATAACCACATGTATCTTTTCACTTCTAATGTTCATAATTCCATATCCCAGAATAGGAATCAAGCCTCATTTATGATGACATTATACATTTTTTAACATCTTTATTGGAGTATAATTGCTTTACAGCGGTGTGTTAGTTTCTGCTTTATAACAAAGTGAATCAGCGATGACCTTATACATTTTAGGATGAAAGACCAACATTAATCTAGTGCTCATGCTAGGAAGAAGAGCTTACATAATCACAAATTCTCCTTTGGTTTTTGCTTTCCTTCAAAATCAAAATATGTTTTATGTTTTGATAAGATGTGTTTTCACTGAAAAAAAAAAAGATGTGTATTTGGGGAAAAGCAAGCACCCTTGGCCATAGGTGAAGCACAGGCTCTTAGCTCAAGAAATAAAGCAACCCTGTGGAAACAGGTCATTTGAGTGTTTACTCAGCATTTCCGGGGCACATTCAGGTGCTCATCTCCGTGTGCACAAGTCTTCCCTGCAAATCCACTCAGAATCCAACCTGCTCCCTGGCGGATGTGACAGACTGGTTTTATGTCGCCAGAGAGATGGATTAATGATCTCAGCAAAAAGCTGGCATGTCCAAGAGATTTAATTTTTTTTTTTTTTTTTTTTTTTTTTTATATAACAGTTTTAGCCAAAGCTGTTCTAGGACTCAGCGGAAGCTGACCTTCACAGGAGAACCAACTTACTAATAGCCAATCACTAAGTAGCAGGGAAGGCAAAGCCTTGGTGTTTGTGTCATGGCCTGAGGGGGTGGGAAGTAGGGTGGCACAAGCATCAGTATCAATATTAAATCGGGAAACTCAGCCTGGCCAGCCATGCCCTCCTTGCTGCCCTGGCTCGAGGCAGAAGACCGAGTCAATGGTTAAGCCTGGGGGGATCTGCTCCGCTGCAGGTTACTGGAAAGCAGCTTGCAGCATCACAGACGTTCACAGGATGCCTTATTTTGCAAGACTCATTTTGTTCTTGTTTTGCCTGATGGTTCTTGTGGAGACCAGAAAGCCCAAGAAGAGGAGATGGACAGGGCAGCTGGAAACGTCCAAGCCAAGGTAAAGCTGTGGGCGGGAGGGGAGGGAGGTGACTCGTGGTGGCAGTGACACACAGTGGGACAGCTCCCGGGAGGGCTAGGGGTTAGATCGCCCGTCCTATTGGAATCTGTTTTCCAGCCGGGGGTAGATAGGACCTCGCCCTCACTCAACACAGCCTCTCCCTGGGCACAAATACACTATTGTGTCACCAGCAGCGAGAGAGGGAAGCTAGACTAGGCTGAGCCTTTCATTCTGATGTCTGTGTTCCACCAAAGCATTTTGATTTAAGTCAGGCAGTTGAAGACTTAGTGGGTAAAGCATCTTTGTACTTCTCAGATTGTGCCGCTTAGTTTCTTGGGATTACATCCTGTAGGGACCATAGATGACCTGCTAAGGAATCACACTCAAGAATTTTTTTTTTTTAAACTACCCACCCCATATTTCAGGGCTGCTCTCACTTTCCGAGACTACCCCATGCCCTCGGGCCACTCTTGCCTTCTGAGACGGCTCACGTTCTGTCTACAGAGTGTGTATCTCTCTAAATAAACCCGCTTTCACTTTAAAAAAAAAAAAAGAATTTTCTTTTTTGAGGGGAACTGTATATAGGAATGTAGTTTGACTTATTAAGAAAAAAATGTAACTGGGAGTTGTCTTCTTTATTTGATTGGGAACAATTTTATAATGCTATCAGGTTTCATTGTACTGTTTTGAATCTTAGAGAAGATGTTTGAAATTTGCTAGGTTATTAAAAATATACATGTGGACAACAGTGAAGGCTATTTCATGGTGTAATGGAAACACTTCCAAGAAATCACTGGTTAGGCCCAGAATTTGCACTTAACATAATTACATCACAAATCAAAGTTCCTTAATACGTTTGTTTTGAACTGATGTACGAAGCACGATATGCTAGGCCTGTTCAGCATGAAGAAAAGAGCAAGCAGCTAAGATATCCACGCCATGTGTAACACGCCATGTTACATGTCTGTTTTTCCATTCTACTAAGCACTGCGTGATTATGAATATTAACTAATACCTTGAGGCACATTTTCTAGGCCAGTGGTCTCCCTTTTTGATCACGTACCGCTATCAGTGACCATTTTTTGAAACCGTACCCCGTGATGTGTATACATATATATACACAAATTACATACCTTACTATTATAAATATGTAAATTAAAGCTGAAAAGTTTCCTTATTTTTATTTTTTTATTTTTAATTTTTTAAACATTTGTTTCTCACAGTTTGTTTTTTTATATAAATTTATTTATTTTATTTATTTATTTTTGGCTGCATTGGGTCTTCGTTGCTGCGCTCGGGCTTTCTCTAGATGCGTTGAACAGGGGCTACTCTTCGTTGCGGTGCGCGGGCTTCTCACTGTGGTGGCTTCTCTTGTTGCGGAGCACGGGCTCTAGGCGCGTGGGCTTCAGTAGTTGTGGCGCACGGGCTCAGTAGTTGTGGCTCGTGGGCTCTAGAGCTCAGGCTCAGTAGTTGTGGCACAGGGGCTTCATTGCTCCGCGGCATGTGGGATCTTCCTGGACCAGGGCTCAAACCCGTGTCCCCTGCATTGGCAGGTGGATTCTTAACCACTGTGCCACCAGGGAAGCCCCAAAACTTCCTTATTTTTAGATAAAAACTAACTATAAATGAGAGTTACAATTTCTACTTCTTGCATCCCAGTGGAGCATCCAGGTGTGCCCCTACTTTGGAGACTGCTGCTCTGGGAGATGTAAATACTCTGTGAAGTCTACTTCTACTCAGTCAGAAAGCCAACAGGTACAAATTGTCCAGGATATTGGGAAAGAGGCACCACTCTCGAAGACGCATCCTGGTTATGTAGCCAGAGTCCTAGGCTGTTGAACTGGCAGGAACTTCAGAGGTCACGGGGTCCAGCAATTCCCCTGAGTTCTAATTCTGTGAAATGTGAATAGGTGTTGTATAAAGAGGGGGTTCCAGGGTCAAAGAAGGTTGGGAAATCCTGGTTTAGACAGGTATCTTTATAGCAGAACTTATAGAACATTTATTATGCCAATAGAGGTTGTGAATCTGGAAGAGGAGGATAAATTATGCAGTTTTTCTTTAAAAAAAAGAAAAAGAGCAACACTTTTTTTTCTGGACTATCTGTGGGATTCATAGTCCACAGAGCACACATGGGGAAACACTGTCTTATTTTACAGATAGATGCTAAAACGTCGGCATGAGTAATTCATACAGCTCGGTAGTAGCTTGACAGGACCAGAACCTAGGATCCTGATTTACTAGGTCTGAAGGGAAATCGTGGTCTGAACCTGTCTCTTTTCTAATAATGGTGCTGGGGTTCAGCACAAGCCCCTCAGGGACCCTCAGGGATCCCACTTGGCAGCCTGGGCAGTTACAGCATCTCTGTTGCTCTCAGAAGACCCACAGTCTCATTCCCAGACACCTGCATGAGCTTGTGGACAGACTGAATTTATTAAAAAAATTTTTTTAATTGCAGTATAGTTGGTTTACAGTATTGTATTAGTTTCAGGTGTACAGCATAGTGATTCTAAATTTTTATACGTTATACTCCATTTATAGTTATTATAAAATATTGGCTGTATTCCCTGTGTTGTACAATGTATCCTTGTAGCTTATTTATTTTATACATTGTAGTTTGTACCTCTTAATCTCCTAAGCCCTATTTTGCCCCTCCCCCTTCCCTCTCCCCACTGGTAACCAGTAGTTTGTTCTCTATACCTGTGAGTCTGTTTTTTTAAATATTCACTAGTTTGTTTTGTTTCTTAGTTCCACATATAAATAATACCATACAGTCTACCATTTGTCTTTCTTTGTCTGACTTATTTCACTTAGCATAATACCCTCCAAGTCCATCCATGTTGTTGCAAATGGCAAATTTTCTTTCTTTTTTATGGCTGAGTAGTATTCCATTGTATATATAGACCACACTGTCTTTATCCATTCATCCGTTGACGGACACTTAGGTTGCTTCCACATTTTGGCCATTGTAAACAATGCTGCTACGGACATTGAGCTGCACATATCTTTTCAAATTAGTGTTTTCATTTTCTTCAGATATATACCTGGGAGTAGAATTGTTGGATCATATGGTAGTTCTATTTTTAGTTTTTTGAGGAAACTTTATACTGTTTATGGATGGATTGAATTTGACCCTTAGGGGTGAAGATAACTTTTTGAAATCTATCCCATGAGGTGTTAAAGTGGATGAAAAGATGAACATACACATTCAAAGAATATAAAATAATTATTGAACAGAAGCTGGGAAAAAGGATAGAGAAAATGTATCAGGGAACATGCTTCTAGGCCTTTCTGTAATCCACCAGGGCGTGCACACGCTCAGACAATCATAGAGCTACGTCTGTCTGTGAAAAATTTCAGCCAAACATCTGACTAAAAGGTACTTTCATTATTGACACAAGAGTTAAGCTATGCTAATAAATAGGAATGAAATGACCTGAACCTTTCTCATTACAGTCTTAGAGCAGTTCAGCTCTGTGGAGTAGCTCCTTCTCTTAGAAGTCCTGTTCACACACACACACACACCGAGAGGACTTCTTCTAACCTGTCAACCTTCCCTGTGTCACCCTGGCCAACACACCCTCGCAAAACAATTATTCTGTCCAGCAACTGCTTTTTCAAAACTGCTTCCGGTTTTCTGATCCTTTGTGTCCCTTTACTGAGTTGCTGCCAAGTGAGCCTGTTTGCTCTTAGCTGTTTGTTTTGTTCTGTTCTTCCTGCCTCTCAGCCTCCCAGGTTTATTCCCCGCCCTGCTGCCTAAGGCGGCCTCCCGACCACATGACTGCTTTCCTGCAAAGAGACGCCCTTCTCCCTTGAGATCTGAAAATACACCAAGATCTGGGAGTCTGGGCTCTGCCCTGATCACACTGTGTGGCCCCTCCTGGTCCCGAAGCCTGAGGTCCCCTTTCATCTTTCCTTCCCATTTGCTGCCCCTTTGGTTCCACCTGCCCTTGGCCATCCTTCTCTCCTTTGGCATCATGGTTCCAGTGCTGGACCCAGGAGCCGCTTTGCTCTCCTGCTACCCAGTGACCCTCACCCTCCCTAGAGTTCTGGGGAAGGAAGTGGGGTTGGGAAGTCAGGAGAAACCAGGTTCAGGCAGGTTCAGGCCCTGCTTCTGCTGCTCCCTGGCTGTGTGGCCCTGTTTCCTGACCTTTCTGAACCTGATTTCTCCAATTGAAACCCCCTGGAATGGTGTGTTGATTGCCGCTCACCAGCCCTGCTTCTCAAAGGCATAGTGAGCACTTTTTCTTCTCTCCCCGCTCCACACCCCGACAAGGCTGGGTTTGAGGTTCCGTGAAAGTTCTGGCAGCCCCGCCGCGGGGCTGGGGCTCGGCATATGGCCCCTGGAGTCTGGGGTGGGAGAGCTGGGCCCCTGGAGTCTGGGGCGGGAGAGCCGGGCCCCTGGAGTCTGGGGATGGGAGAGCCGGGCCCCTGGAGTCTGGGATGGGGCAGTGGCTGGCATCTCCTGTGGAGGATGGGTGCAGGGCATCCAGCTGACACCAATAGCCCAAGGATCAGGATATCAGCGGCCTGTGTTATCAAATAACTGGACCCGTAAGAAAAATTCTGGGTCCTTATTAACGGCACTGGGATTTCAATCTCCTCCCTCTCTCCAGGGTGCTGGCATGCTGGAACTTCCCTTCCCCTAATCCTCCCCTCTCAACTGAGAAACTGTGCTGACCGGGAGGGATTTGCTCCCCGCGAGCCAGGGCTGCCCTCACAAGTTAATGTCTGTGATCGGCTAAGCCCTCAGACTGAGCTCTGCTTCCACGTTCCCGGGGTGTCTCTGCTGGGGCTTCTGTATACGGCCCCCCAGCAGTCGCTGCACGGGGAGCCGGGCCTGGTCTGGCTCCACTTCTTGCGGAAGAGACCCGGGAGGGCAGAAGCTCCTTGGAAGGGCCCCTCCATGACCACACGTGTTTCTAGGGAACTTAGGTCCCACCTCCCAGCTACAGGAAGAAGCCATCGGCCTCTCGTCCTCGGAGTGTGCAGCTGCAACGGGCTTGTCCAAAAGCGTATCTGATCATAGCTTCTTTCTCCAAGTGCCCAACACCCTTCCTCTTCTTCCTTGGCTTTTGGATAAAAATAAAATTTTTTTTTTCTTTTTTTGGCCACGCAGCACACGGGAGCGCAGAGTCTTATCTGTGCCCAGCTGTGGCCTTGATGGCCGCTGGCTGTGAACTGTCTGTTCTCCCGAGGGTTGAGGCTCTCTCCACCAGGGTGGATTCTTCAGACAGCTGCCAACTGGATAGATGGAAAGAGCATCAGGTCTGCCTAGGATAACACCAGCCTTTTAAAACTTTAACTACATTTGTCTCAGAATTTTATTTTATTTTTTTAAATATGCCACTTTGGTATATTGATTTTAAAAACTATTTATTTATTATTTATTTATATTGGCTGTGCCGCGTCTTAGTTGCGGCATGCAGGATCTAGTTCCCTGACCAGGGAACGAACCCGGGCCCCCTGCATTGGGAGCGTGGAGTCTTACCCACTGGACCACCAGGGAAGTCCCTAAGAATTTTCCTTATCTCAAAACCAATATTATAAGAACACTGAAGAGAGATTTTAACAGAAAAAAAAGACCCATCATAATTCTCCACCATTAGACCCAACCATTGGTCATCCAATCAGGACTTTGGGCAAGACAGTTAGGAGCTTGCCAAGGTAGGATGGTGTCCTGCCTTGGGGGGATCTACTTTAGGAAGCCTCTGGAAGGGCCAGGTCCTCGGGCCAGCCCACCTGTGAAGGCCCGGGGTGGTGGAGGTAAGGGGTGGGGGGGACCCTTTATCTCTCGACCTCCCTTCAATGGAGAAAGAGGTGGTAGGATGGGCGAAAAGGTGAGTAACACGTAGACCCTGCAGGAAGTCATCTCCCCGAATCTTCTCACGCGATGTCTTGGTGGGCTGACGGAAAACAGTTTCTTGCTTGCCTTTGCAGTCACCTATATAAGAAGAACCTTGATGTGACCAAAATCCGAAAGGGAAAACCTCAGCCACTTCTCAGAGTGGATGACCATGATTTCACCATGAGGCCTGCCTTTGGAGGTAAGACTGCGTCCTCCCCTCGGCCCTCTGGGGACTGATCCCAGGGCTGCTTCCTGCTGCTCCTGCACTGGGTTCCCTTAGACACAGCCCTCCCCCCGGGGTCCCTGATTTTCCCCCTCACACTCAGAGAAGCCCAGCTGGCTCCCAGTCATTAATTATCCCCAGGAGAAAAGAGCTGGAAGGAAGTGAGTGGAGAGGGCTGTTGAGAAAAGGACCTGAGGGTGATTAAGCTGTTTACATTCACCGAGGCCCAGCACTGCTGCTGCCAACTTTCCTTTATGAAAAAAATAAGAGCATAAGAGCTGCATGGGCAGGGGGCAGGGGGAGGGTGGGTGGCAGGGCTGGAGCGTCCACACAGAAAAGGACCCCCTCGCTCTGCTATCCCGTGCCTGGCTGGGAATTTGGGGTTCTGAGGGGGGGCCCCCTGCTTGCCAATGCAGCGATAGTTTAACGCCTGGCAAAGGTCCCTTGCAGAATTGCCCCAAAGGAGCTTCCCTGCTTCGGCGGGGTGGGGAGGAGTGGTGGCCGGAACAGGAGGAATGCCACAGAGGGGAGGGGGCTGGGAAAGGAGCCAGCCATCTGCACCCACCAGGCAGGGAGAGGGATGAGAACTGCAGAATGCATGAGACACGGGGCCCACGTCCCCCCTGTGCAGGTGGGGAAACTGAGGCCCGGAGCATGGCCGCTGATGGGCCTCCGGCCAGAGAGACCTAGGCAGGAGGGTTTCCATTTCCCCTTTATCTCGCTCTTGAGCTCCTCTCAGGTGCAAACGTTCTCCTGGGGCAGCAGGAAGAAGTAGAGGTGAGTTGTGGGCAAGTCACCGACCCTCACTGAGCTTCTGCTTGCTGGTTTGTGAAATGCGGATAGTAATCCGTCCATCTGGGGCTGCTGTCAGGATTAAATGAGATCATGTATGTAAAGCCCTGGCACATACAGGCTCACAGCCCCTTAGAAAAACCCAGCTGTCAGGCCTCCCTCGTGTGACTGTTAGGGGATTAGGACATTAATTTATCCCAGAGGCCGTTGCAATTTACAAGGACTCAAAGCCTCCCACTCAGTTCCCTGAGGCCTGACACCTGCCGAGCAGGAGAAGAGAGCAGGTGACAGATGACAAGCCCCTGCCTCTTCCTCCTGCCCCGATGGAATGCTGCACAGCTAGGGGTTCTGGTGCCCTCGAGGGCTTGTTTTGGGTAATGCCACCAAAGAGTTTTTTCTAAAATTCAATAACATTTCCGTGAATAAGCAGCTCTAAAATTAGCTGTATGTGCTCCAGGAAGTCCAAGCTAGACATCCTTGCTCCCCTTGACTTTCCTCTAGAGGGTCGGGTAAGATGCAGAGGGCAACTGGAACAAGGTTGACAAACAACAGCATTAATGACAACGAACAACTTCTAGTGACTTCTGTTTCAGGCACCATTCTACTCAGGGTGCTTACAGACACGATCTGACTTCATTCCTCACAACTCCGTGAAGTAGGTACTATTATTATGCCCAGATGGGGAAACTGAGGTGCGGAGAGGTGAGGTGACTGGTCCAGGTCACACAGCTACTGAGGCAGGCCCACTCTCCTAGCTGGGTCTCTTTCTTACCCCCTCAATCCGCATGTCCCCCAGTGCTGGGCCACTAGGCAGAGCAGGCGTGTTTAGGGCTCACAAGGAATACTCCTAGGGGCCCCTGATAAGATGTTATTTTAAAGTCAGAAGAAAAAAATAAAATTTTAGGTAGAAGAAAACGTTAATATATAATATTAATATATTCATCTTTATACCACCACAGTTGTATGCTTTTTAAATATGTTTTTTTCTGGTGGAAGGGCCCACGAAGGCAAAAGTGCCCAGCACCCTCAAAAGTCGCAACGTGACCCTGCCTCAGTGCACAGTGTTGTAGGGCAGCTGTGTGTATCTGGGTGTGGGTGATCTTCTGAATAACACATTGTAACTTTCTGACGGAGGCTGATGTTGCAGCAGGAGCCTGAGCCATCACCTGGTTAGGACTTTCAGTTTACAGAAGAAGAGCCTGGGGTCCAGGGGGTTAAGTGATGGCCACAGAACAACTGGGGGCAGAACTTGGGTTTCCTCTGTGATGTCACATGCAAAAGTGAAAGCCTCATTAAAACGCCCTCCTCCTCTGGGAGAAAGCCAGGGGAGCCAGGAGCTAGCTCTCAGGACTGGCAGGTGAAATCCTGCCACGTTCCCAGAAAACCCAGCTCTGAGTAGAATCATCCAACAGGCTGCGGCCTCAGTCAGGGTGCTCCTTCCTCGAGCCACATTTGAGGAGCAAATTGGACTTCGTGTATCCTGATCCCTGCAACTTCTGGTGCCGCCCAGAGTGTGGAAGATGAGGACAGTCCCTTGCCCCTGCCTGAGTGAGCCTCTGAGGCTGGGAAACACCCTGACTTTAGGGAAAGCCGCCGGGGAAGGAGGTGTCACCTCCAGCAGGTGCGGTAAGACCTGAGGCTCTTACATCAGCTGTCAAGATCTGGGTCACTAAAGCCAAGGGAGGGGCTATACCTCCTTTCCGAGCCCTCCCCCCAGAGCAGCTGGTCTTCTGGGCACCGTTTCTCCCCTGCAGGGCTTTCCTGGATGTCTAGATGTCACTTGGATGAAATAGGACCAGGGGAGCACATGGTGAGGTACACACACATGAACTCATAAATAAGAATCTTTGCAACTCGTGGAGTCCTGGCTGTTGCCAATCTGGCTCCCTGTGCACCGACGCCGGATAAAAATACGGAGACAGAGAACTGGAAGATAAGAGATAGAGAGGCTTTTGATTTTCCTTGCCAGGCAAAGGGAAGACACAGGAGGCTAACGCCTCAAGAACTGTGCCCGCCTCCTTGGGGAATCGGAGACGATTTTACACGTGGGCCTCGGCTCGAAGCGGTATATGATAAGGATCAAAAGTAGTGAAGGTCTTGCATTTCTTTTCTTCTGCAAATTCATGGCCAAAGCTGGCATCAGGCAGCTCAGCACCCGGGTCTGGTGTCCCTGAAGTTATCGGCCCGTGAACTCCTTTCTGAGATGAAGAGTGCTACAAGGGAGTGTAGGGGGAGAAGAAAGGCCAGGTGCAACGGGTCATTTGTATGGAGTCAGAGAGGAATCAGCTTGTGAAGGACAAGTCTAGCTACAAGTGTTTGTTAGTAGTAACAGCTAAACAATAACCAAGATTGCTTAACTCTTTCAGACCTGTTTATGTTGATTCCCCAGCCTGTTCATTGTTTCCTTATTTTCCTCGTTTATCAGAAAGGTCTCATTTCTATTTTTGCTGCAACATGGCCAAGCAGGCTGGATGGGGCCATCAGAGGAGGGAGCTTCCCACCGCCTGGGGTTCCAATGATTGCCATAATCCATAATCCCTGGAGCATCTGCAGATGGTTTAGAGCCAAGAAGCCTTCCTTGCAGGTCCTCCTGAGGGTCTCCATTCCATCCAGCCCCTCACTTCTGCGCAGAGGCACTGGCCAGGGGGTGCGTGTGTCTCTGAGGGAGGAGGCTTGCAGACAGCACGTAGATGGCTCTGTGTGAGTAAGAGAAAGGCCGCCTTCCTTGGGGGCAGCCCTGTGCCAGATACCTGGTCCAAAGCAGAGCCTGGGTTCAACCGGCCCTAATGCCTGCCCAGCCTAACACACCCCTCTAAAAGGCAGCCATGCACGCTCAGCAGGCCATGCCAACAAGATGCCCGTCAACAACTGTGGGGTACGTGTTGCATCCCTGTATTCTCTTCCTAACTTGTTTTTCGAAGAGGGGCTTCCTTGTGGACTGACATTTAAAAATAATTGCTAGAGAGGAATTTGCCTAAGGCTAGATATCCCTCGGATGACCTTTTCAGTCTGGAAAAAGAAAAGATTAAAAATCTAGCAGCTTCCTAATAATCCCAGGGATCAGTTGAAACAAAAATATCTGGTCTAAGCTCCCAGCTGCCTGGTTTGCTGGTGTGTCCTGGTTAGGAGAACCTCCAGAGGCCTGGGGTTTCCCCTCCATTTGTCAGGAGAACGAGTGCAATGCTGATTTTTTAAAATTAAAATTCAAAAGACTGTGCTAAAACACACATAGCAGAAAATGTACCATTTTAACCATATAGTTCGGTGGCGAAAGAATATTCACGTTGTTGTGCAACCGTCACCAGCACACATCTCCAGAACTTTTTCATCTTCCTAAATTGTCAACGAAACAATAACTCTTTTTTTTAAAAAACAAATTTATCTATTTATTTTTGGCTGCGCACAGGCTTTCTCTAGTTGCAGAGAGCAGGGGCTGCTCTTCGTTGTGGTGCGTGGGCTTCTCATTGTGGTGGCTTCTCTTGTTGCGGAACATGGGCTCTAGGTACGCGGGCTTCAGTAGTTGTGGCTTGCGGTCTCTAGAGCACAGGCTCAGTAGTTGTGGCGCACGGACTTAGTTGCTCTGCGGCATGTGGGATCCTCCTGGACCAGGGATCGAACCTGTGTCCCCTGCATTGGCAGGCAGATCCTTAACCACTGCACCACCAGGGAAGTCCCGAAACAATAACTCTTTACTCCTGCTTCCCCCTGCCCCTGGCAACCACCATTCCCCTTTCTGTCTCTATGAATTTGCCCGCTCTAGGTTTCTCACGTTAGTGGAATCATACACTATTTGTCTTTTTGTGACTGGCTTATTCACTTAGCATTATGCCTTCGAGGTTCATCCATGTTGTAGCGTGTAAGGCCAAATAATATTCTATTGTATGAATATATCACATCTTGTTTAATTGCCATTCATCTGTCAATGGACATTTGGGTTGTTTTTACCTTTTGGCTCCCGGGAATAATTCTGCCATGGACATGTGTGTGCAAACATCTATTCAAGACCCTGTTTTCAGTTCTTCGGGGTATATACCCAGAAGTGGAATTGCTGGGTCACATGGTAGCTCTATGTTTAGTTTTTTCAGAAACTCCCACACTTTCTTCTACAGCAGCTGCATCAGTTTACATCCTCACCAGCATGATACTGATTTTTAATTCAAACTGTAGAGATGGAAGGTAAAGGT